TACCGCAATTACTCCGCGTGTAGGGTCTAAAAGAGTGCGTGGAAAAAAATAATTGAGCCCGAACAGTGCGAGTTTAGGTCTATCATAAATTCCCTTTCATCGCACAGACCTGATCTAAAAAGGGGTTGAGATGAAAGGTTGTTTATTACTGACAGAATCGGGCAGGGAAGTTTCGGCATCCGAGGGATTGTCGGACGTGTACGCTTTTTAGACCTGAGTTATGCGGTCGGGCACTGTGAGCCGTGAGAGGGCCTCTGGCGGATCGTGGGTAATTGCAGTTACAGGTGACGTAAATATCGAACTAGCGGTTAGAATTGGGGAAAATTTTTTTTAATATTTAAATGATATGTGTGCTTGCTATAGAATAAAAAAAACTCTTGATTTACGTTTTTTTGATTGGATTCACAGCCAAAATAGTGTCGTATTTTAAGGTGTAAGTCTATGGGACAGTGAAATTGGCGTATGAGACCGTAAACAGGCGGGGTGATCTGGACCATCTTTGAAGAAAGGAGGCGAAATCAGTCTTATAGTAGGAGAAACAACTGACATGCCATTGAAATTATAGGGCACACCAAACTTCGATCGGTCAACCAAGACGGGGGGCGCTACAGACTTCAGGGCACCCTCAATCTACTACGGCCGTCACGTGTTCCAAATGACAACGTTATGTGGGCTTTAAATGATGTAAACTGACCCTAGGCCTTCTCTCTGCCCTCATAACATCAACGAAAAGCGGCCGAATTGAGCTTCTCCTGAATAAAACAAAGGTTCAAACGAAATCCCCGGCTGCATATCAAAGCACTGTCTTGTATAAGCCTGAAGGTTCATCCTTAATACTAGCTTTTTTTTACTGAAACATACAGTGACAAGACGTGGTGGCGACACACTCAAGTTACACTTATATTCATGTCGCCACCAGACATACATAATACAAGCAAGCAAAGCACGAGTTATCATATAGAAGTTGAATACAATAATTAATCAATGAACAAGTGAAACAAATACTAGCTTTGGCTGTATCTGCAGCCTAAAGATCAAATAAATAAAACCTAGCTCTGATCAAGGAGGTTTAAACTTCCTTGCTCTGATAAAATCTGCCACAACAGCAGCACAGATCTTACCTGACATGCCGTGCATGGCAGCCCTCCTCTTGAAGACCTCGGCCGCCTTGTCGTCCATGTCCCAGACCATCAGGCCGGAGCTGGGCAGCGCCATGTACCGGACAGTCCGGGGCAGTCTGCTCCGGACATGGTCAGCCTGCCGATACACCGCGATACCACCGGCTGGACAGATGTGTTTATCATTTGTTCATACTTGTTTCAAAACGACTGATCTTGTAGATATAGACGTAATAAAGTATTGTAGCACCTGCTCCTCCTACCCTTATACCTCAGTTATCCAACGTAGTGCATTTGGCCCATGTAGGGCGTGAATATGCAATAAAAATCATTGTCATTGACATTGTCATTGTCATTGATAATATGAGGGAAACGTGAAAATAATGATTTAAATAGCAAAGATTCTTATTAACAACCACTTTTTAAAAGAAGGGTCGTAGTTTCAATGACGGTCTGTCATCGTCATCAGTGCAATTATGACTGTGCACATCTAGCCTCAGTGCAAAGTGAACCAGAAACATCTAGCTCCAGTGCACAGTGATGAAGATAACAGCCGGTGATCGAAACGCTCGTTAAAAACGTGATTGTGCATAAAGAACTTTGCTATCCAATCATTCACCAACCTGATGGTAATAATTCACGAAAAGAAAAATTGAGCATCCGATTGTTTTCAAGCTTAACATTGCCATTGCAAGTCCGACAATACACGAAAAATTGTAATATTCACGAACAATATTTCCAAAACGAACATATAAACAGTCTTACCAGAGTTCCCGCTCAGGATGACTGTTGTGGCGTTCGACATGCCTCTGACGTCATTCACCTCGTCCAACACGGCATCTAGGATCGCTTGACCCCGGAAGTACAACGTCTTTCCTTTCTGGGTCACCGGATCCGGCCGGTTACCTGTGAGAAACGAGTCCGTTTATATTTAGCAGATCGATCAGTTCACGGGTCACTAAATTGATGACAGAGCAGGCGATAAACTGTGAATTTTCCGTAGATGATGTTATTATTATGGACCGTGTGACATAACGTACCATGCAGCAGACAATCTGACTCCTGTCGGATTATGATATATTGATTATTTGACGATGATAAATGGGGTCAACTGCAGGACGAGTGGAGACTACTCTCCAATCACAGATTGAGGCTGCAGTTTATTTTTGACGTGTTTTTAGGCGCTTGGCCAGGGACTTTCTTTCTTGTACTGGAATCTTTTTTAGGCTTCGAATTTTTATTTATCAGGCCTTTTTGGTATTGGCACTTTTTAAGGCTTTTTCTTTACATTTTTACGCGTTTTTACCGGGCTTTCCTTTTTGTATTGGTATCTTTTTTGCTAGTCCAACTTTGGGGTGAAAATGGTAACTGTCTAGCAAATGGATACTACCTGGCCAATTTAATAATGTCTTTGCATCCACCAAAAAGATCTGTTTGTAGATTAAGTGGAACCATGTTACTTACTGGTGAAACATGCACCATCACAGTAGTGGATATACACCAAGTTCCAGTTGAAGAAATCAGGGTTTTCGTCCTGATTGCTTGACAGGAACCCCCCGAACGTGTCTCTTGTACGTAACCGCCTCGTGGAGCCGTTATCGGTGAGGCTCCGTGAGTAGCACTCGGCCAGGTCGTCACACGACCCGCCGCCGTCCAGGTGAACCCGCCAATTGTTTCTGCCGCTGCCGGTCCCTAAGGAAACCACAAACCATAGATTTAATAATTTAAACGGCTTTCAATAGGGGCCTGCATGCCCTTTTTCGTAAGGCGTAATCAGGCCTTTTTAGTCTTCGTAATCCGTAGGCAGCCTCCCCAAAATCAACGTAATTCGTAATCAGTACATTAGCCACAAAGCGTTAAGTCGTAATTAGCTCTGAGACCTTACCTTAGACCTTAGATCCTCCCGCAACCTTGTTGCATAGGTCGACGGATAATAATCAAATAGATCCAATTAGCCCTGAGACTTTAACGTAATTCGTAATCGGCGAAGAAAATTTTGCGTAATCACTACCCCC